TATGTGGCACTAGTTTATATGTAGTTAATGCTATATCGCCATGTGTATTAGCTCGGGTGCTAAAGCTAACAGGCGAAGATGAGGTTCTCCTTCCATAAAACAGCTCTGTTGTCCTCCATCTGCATTTTCAATTGCAGACGGAGTTATTTCTACCTTCTCTTCTCTGTTAAACATGCTTGTTTTACAATGTTTATCAAAWGTCTAATGTTGCAACTAGTTGGGGTTCCCTTTAAATGATGGTTACTCTCTGAGACTGAWGGTGTGTTATAACACCTTTCAGAGTACAGTTAAAACACACAAGTTCCAATTAAAACAGCTGCACAAGAGAGAAACGAGCATCACGTAAAACAMTTTCAGCCTCATGGTTAACAGAGAATTTAAGTTTACAGTATAATCTGCCACAAAATGACCCAATGTTGTGTATATTATGTTTTCCAGGAGTGCTTCACACCATTCATAAACGGCAGCTTCTTTGACCACGACGGGCAGCCATACTGCGAGGCTCATTACCACGAGCGGCGCGGCTCTCTGTGCTCCGGCTGTCAGAAACCCATCACGGGCCGCTGCATCACAGCCATGGGGAAGAAGTTCCACCCAGAGCACTTTGTGTGCGCTTTCTGCCTCAAGCAGCTCAACAAGGGCACCTTCAAAGAGCAGAACGAAAAGCCCTACTGCCACAGCTGCTTCGTCAAACTCTTCAGCTAGACCCCGTGTCTGCTCCTGTGTGAGTCGAAACGCACACGTTAAGGTGCATCTTTGAGGTTTTAACTGATGTTTTTGATCACATCATGAGTCGAAAAATGTCTTTTTAGCTAATATTTGTCTGTTAGCTATGACCCTGAAAGGACTTCTCTGAATGTCCACACTTTTACACTTATACTAAAGAAGTTTTAAAAAGAGCCCAAAGAGATTTTTTTTTTATTTAGACTCTTATTCCTGTGTGTAACAGGACCGAGAACGCAAGTCGCTACTTTTCCCTTGTATGTGTGTACATAAACAGTTTGAACTTGTAAAGTATTTTTCCCACAATGCAGGGCCAGATCTGATACAAGCTGCTTGATTGCATGGACCATTGAGAGTTACCCCAAGCAGTTTTAAAGTAATATGAGTGTTGAATGCTCAGTGTTTGGCCTATGAGTGCTTAAAAATGTATTTTTCTAGCTTATGAGGTGCCATTTAAGACAAACACTTTTAGTATGTACACGCACAAAGACACATGCCCTTCTTTAACATACTGGTCTGATCTTTTTGAAACATTAAGCAACAGATCTACAGATGATACTTTCTTAAAATGTATTTTATACATTAAGTGTCAGTAAGATACTAGTTTCTCATTTTGTACAGCTTACAGTTCACTTTCACCGTGTTCATCTGTTATTTTTTAACAACTTGAATCAGATACATATAGTACCTTTTTTACTTGCAGAAAGTGAGAACTTTGTTTTAAATTAAAGTGATGATTCAGATCTTTTTTTAAGCGGGGTTCTGTGTAAGACTATTAAAAAGTAACCTGTAGTAAAATTTTAATCGACAGTATTTTGGACTGACAAGCTAATGGCTAGTCTAAGCATTTGTTTATTTTCATTTTRGGATTAACACAAGACAAAAATGCAATGAAATTCTTAGGATGAGAAAAAACATTCAACTCGCGATACAAAAAACTAAAAACAAAACAGGAAATACTAATAGCACTGCAATAGAATATTGTAATACAGTAAAATATAACAGTGCAGGCAGGGTAAATAAAGTACAAGTACAGGATTGCTGCTACTTTCTAAAACATCTCAGATCTTAAAACATTTCATTGTAGTTCATGTTGAAGTTGTTTTATAAACTTTAAATGGTGTTTTCACATTGCACAGCTATTTGCATTGGATTCTATGGTAACTTTGCAAGCTCATTAAATAGAAGCAGCAGCTAGCTGTAGCACTTCAAATGCTGCCTGGGACACTTCTAGCAGAAATATCACATTTCTGACAGAATAACTGTGTGATGTAAACCTGACAAAATGTAAAGTTTTATAAAAAATATGTTATTACATTTTTTAGATTAAAGGACCTATATTTAAAGCAATACTTTGGGCATGTTTTTGTTGAAGGGATAACGTTATAACACAATATAAAGCTCAAAAAAGTTTATTTTATAAAATATTGCCCTTTAAGTCTGCAACCATCTACTTTGGTCTTGAGCCTGCTCAGGTTAGTCATTAGCTTGTCATTTCATCCAAAGCTAAGCTCAATCTCTCCAAACTGTGGTGATTCAAAGAGTTATCTGCATCAGGTAGGATGTTTACTATTRATATCTTTGCAATAGTTGTTTGCAACCTTTCCACAAAATCTCGCTTCCGAAGATTTGAACCACAACTTTCCAACGCAGCAGTGTTTGTGTGTGTGTTATACATTTTTAACGCTAATTTTAAATGTAATGTTTGAAGAATTTACTTACAAATCAAAAGAAATCTTATATAAATAAAACTTGTCAAAATACATATTATATATTATGGTTGAAAATGATTTTAAATGTGGTGCAATTTGTGTGGAAAAACAAGCTAAATCAAAAATTTCTGCTTTATCGTACATTTGTTACAGAGAATAAATTGAGAGGAATTCTATTTTTCAACACGTCTAATGTGTAATTGTTGCCACCTATGTGCATTTGCCACTGTATTAAACTCATCTGTAGGATGTGTTGAAGATTTATCGTGTCTTGTTGTGTTCTGGTCACATTTGATTCAGAGTTTTATCAGCACCAGCTGCCAGTCGCTGTTACAATCAGAAAAAACTAAATGTTCAACTTGGTGACAGAATTGTTTGTTTTTTTTGTTTTGTTTTTCTTGATGAAAAATTTTTTCCTGTTTTTTTTTTTAGTAGATATGCAAAGAGCTGGCTCTGTGAGCATGAAGCCTACTGTAACAATAGTTTACCCAGGTCTCATTCCTTCAAACACACCAACACCAGCTGTGATTCAGGACGTCAGAGGGAAACACCCTGAGCTTTTAAAACCATGAACTGTGATGCTGTCGGTGCAGAGGTCACCGGTTGAAGCTGGATGTTCGTTTTTACTGAAGAATCAGAATATGACCCGAGGTCAGGGCCAGGCCTTAGCAAAGATTTACACAATATATGTATAAATACTCAGCTCTYCTTTTGGCATATATCTCCTGTGTTGTTTTGTTTTTTGTAATCGGGTGGGGGAATAGAACTACAACATTGCCTTTGATTTCTTTTGTATGTAAGATGTCAGTACACAGCAACCACATTCAAGTTTTCATTTCTTCCTGTGCCAAACGTCTCAATGCAATAAGGTCTTACACACTGTGGAAATCACAGCTTTTCCTGTGATCTGACCCTTTTCTGCTCTGAACTCTGAGGAGCTTCACCTGCTGTGGTTCATGTTAGCTGAGCTCTACACTGTAACAGTGAGCTGAGGAGCTGGGTGTTCACTTGTAGCACATTCAGGCGGATGTAGCAGAGGTGAACGTGGTTGTAAAATAATTCACTTGATTTTGCTCATATACATTTATCTCATTGAACTAGTTTATTTTGCATTCAGCTGAGGAAAAAAACAACAGAAACAAAAGTTTTTATTTTCTTTTATTGAAATTCAGTGAAATCATTTGTGGAAATGCATTCATGTGATTGATTACAATTTTGTTTGTTTTTTTTTCCCACAAGCCGTAAACTTTGTGTGGCTCTTTGTGTGGATGTTTGGGTCCTGGTTGGTAAACTTCTACAAAATAAAAGTCTTGATTTTTGGCATTGTTTCATCATTTCTGGGTGCTTATTTTCATACAAACCTCAGACATGCCATCACTGCAGTAAATGTTTTGGCATGTAGTTTAAAAAAAAAAAACTTTCAGTTTAGAAAAAATATGAAATGCATTATCACCAAGTGGAGAACATTAAACAGACATTTGTAGGTTTAAAATAAAGTCATCAAAAGCATTTTTTTTATCAATAACAGCAGAACCCAGTTTATGGGAGATTGTGTACTGTTGAGACCAGTGTCTGCGCACGGGATGTCTGCTTTTAAGTCCCGCCTACCAATCTGCACTAAATTATGACAAACTTTCTTTTAAGCATAAAATAACTACATCAAAATGTGTTAGAAAAATTAATATTTGAATATACGGCAAAGTAGGAAGTGCAAAAAGATACAAAACCTGGAAAATAAAATGATCTGAGGACAATGTAACATGCGTTCACACGGAGGAGGCGGGGCTTAAAGCTTGTACTGGAATCACCTGACAGGGAAGTTGATCTCACTCTTGGCTTTATCTTTTGGTTTCCAGTCAAAAGTCTAAATCAGCTGTGTCCAATCCTGGTCTTCGAGGGCCACTATTCTGAATGTTTTAGAGGTTTCTCTGCTCCAACACACCTGATTTGGACAAACGGGTGATTAACAGGCTTCTGGCACCGAATCAGGTGCAGCGTAGCAGAGAAACAAAACATGCAGGATAGCTGCCATCCAGGATCGGACACCTTCGTTCTAGATATAAACGGTCTATGATATGGACAGACATGTTCTCTGGCACTGATCAACGGGGGTGCTGCAGCACCCATCACACCTCTAGTTCCAATGCATCTAAATTAATGTTTTCAATCAAAACATTTGATTTGACCCAGATAATTTCTCCTGATAAACCTTTGCTAACTATCCAGTCTCTGTGAAGGCCACGCCCGAAAAGCATTGGTGAAACAATAAAATCTTGTATTTCAGATAGGGCTGCAACGATTAATCGATTAATCAACAACTAATCGATTATTAAAATAATCGATGACTAATTTAATAATCGATTAATCATCTTCTTTCTTTTTTTGTTCTTTACTTTGTTTTTCTCTCCAAACTGCTTTACACCTTCCACTGCCACATCTGCCTTTCTGTCCTTGACACACATGCACAGTAGTGGTAACTGGGGTAGGCCGTGGACGTCACAAGACATTATACAGACAGGCTSTGGTATCATGGCTACCTGACAACGGAGCTCAAAGTGTGGGAACTTTTTAAGAAAATGAAATAGAAACATGTGTAATATCTGCAGAGCAGAACTTGCCTTCCACAGCAATTATTTTTAGTTAGCATATAGCTAAAAGCTAACGATAGTTATATAATAGCAGCTGCATTCTGGCATGATAAGCTCTATATTTTATATTCAATTAACGTATGATCCGATTAGTCGACTAATAGAAAAAAATAATCTGTGATTAATCTATTATAAAAATAATCATTTGTGGCAGCCCTAGTACAGAGAGATTCTTGATAAAAATCTGCTTCCATCTACCAGGATGATGAAGATGAAACGTTGCTGGACATTTCAGCAAGACAATGAGCCCAAACACAAAGTGAAGGAAACTCTCAGTTGGTTTCAGAGAAAGAAACTAAAGCTGCTGGAATGGCCCAGCCAATCACCTGACCTGAATCCAACAGAAAATCTATGGAAAGAACTAAAGATCAGAGTTCATAGAAGAGGTCCACGAAACCTTCAAGATTTGAAGACTGTTTGTGGAAGAATGGGCCAAAATCACACCTGAGCAATGCATGCCACTAGTTTCTCCATACAGGAGGCGTCTTGAAGCTGTCATTGACAACAAAGGCTTTTGTACAAAGTATTAGATAAATTTCTGTAAGTGTGTTCAATACTTTTTCCCTGTGCCATTCCACATTATTACAAATAACTTCATTTCTGGACATGTATGGTTTGATTTCTTTGTATGTATGGATCACTTGGGTTGTTACCGACATCTGGTGAAAATTTCATGTCATTAGCACCTCTAGTAATATATTTACTGAGAAAAATGATGACGTGTTCAATACTTATTTTACCTGCTGTATGATGTACTTCTGTTTTGTTAATTCAGGAAATTATAAACAAAATCCTTCGTGTTATGAAAAGACCCTCTTGATTCAAGAGAAAACTCCAGTTTTTAAGAAAATGGCTGCTTATCAATTAATTGTTAGTTAATCTATAAGATAAATCAACTTCAGATTAATTAATTAATCAATAACTTGCATCCTTAATTTTTACAGGAATGAAATTATTTATATCTACTCATATTTATGTAATTAAGCGTTTTATTGATTTGGCCGATTAATCGAAAAAATTATCGACAGATTAATCGATTATTAAAATAATCGTTAGTTGCAGCCCTAATTTCAGATCACGTTTTGTTGGATTCCTGAGTCTCTGAAGTAGGCAATGTGCAAAAAAAAAAAACAAAAAAACTCCTAAGATGTCACTTAATACACTTGACAAACACAAGAACAGATCAACGCGTCTCTTTGGCGAGACGTGACYATCTGAACTCGGTGCTTCGTTAGAGCTCGAAACTTGTCAGCGAGATCGGAGAAGTTCTGGTTCCAGTCCAGAACCTCCAAGCACTGCAGGTCCTGCAGCTGGTGGAGGCACAAGAAGTCTTTCTCGGGCACGTGCTCCTGGCGAAGCCTGAGACTTCTGAGCTTTGGAAACAGTTGCGGGATCTGAGCGGTGCGAGCCCCCAAATTTGAAGGCCAGAGGTCTATGTGGAGGTGCAGCAGATTTGGCACCTGCACCGCTAGAACCGCCAAGTCTTCAGGGGACACGGCCGGGAGGCACAGCGTGAGGCTGGTCACAGTGGCTGGGATGGAGGTGACGTACAAGCTCAAAGGTCCGCCTCTGAAGATGACCAGCTTTGTCAACTTGAATTTAAGCAGCAATCTGTTCAAGTTTTCAGCGTCTTTGGCCACTGTTGGTAACCTCCAATTCGAAAACTGGTAGAAAACACCAAGACTCTTCAGGGAAGGGATCAGTTTCAGCGTGTCTTCATCAGGCAGTAGATCAACCAAGCAGTCGACGAGTTCGAGGCTGGACAAAGATGAGCCAGTTTCAAAACCTGGTCCACGAACCTGGGGATAGGCATAGTCAACAGACAGGGACAGATGCTTCAGCTGAGGAAGGTGGGAAACCAAGATGTCAACCATCCTGACACGTTTGTCACAAATGTTGGTTTTCCTATGACAGACCAAGGATGTAAGGTGCCTGAGGTGGGGCAGCAAACGAAATAATAAGTCGTAGTGGGGCTCAGTAGTAATGCCACATATGCTCAGGTGAGTGAGATTCTGGAGTTTAGATCCCAGGTTTGTATCAAACAACAGAGAAATGTTTCTTAGAGCCAGGCGTGTCAGGTGAGGAAAATCATTTGTCAAGTTGAAGCTCTTGGAGTGTGACGCCTCCACGACGACTGTGGTCACAGCAGGAAGAGACTGGGAGAGGTGACCCCAGTGCTTAGCTTTGGTGCTCCTCATCACCACACTGACGACTTTTCTGCGACGAAGCGTGTCCCAAAACTGACGGTTGTACGCGCCATGTRCAAAACTCAAAACGACAGTCCAGTCTTTCCAAAGAGAACTGTGGTCGATGAGCTTCTTGAAGTACTTGGAGACTGCCCGGACGCTGCCTTTGTCTGTCACGGACAAATACCCAAATATGTGGTTCCAGATTTCAGGTGGAAAGTGTACAGGAGACAGATACAACGACAACATCTTCTTAGTGGTGCTCGGCAACCTGCTGCACAGTGTCATGTTTAGTTAAGGCGAAATGAAGGGAATCACTTTTGAAGTGACACGGAAGCACTGCAGGTGATTGACATTGAAACGATCCAATAGACGTCAGGCAAACGCCGGTTTCTCTGCTCTGATTGGTCAATTGCTTGGAATAAATTCGTCTCGCGCCCATCCGCTTCCTCTTTCTTTCACGCGACCCTACGCAGTGGTGAGTGGCTTTTGTCGCTGTTTCTCTAGCGCTAAATAAGACGTAAAAACCATTTTGTATTTTGTGGATGTTGTTGCATTAAAGACATAAAAATATGCGCTGCTAAACCAGACCTATTTTTACAACCTATTATTAAATTTTGATACTGTTAATTCAAGCGCGGCCCTTTAGCCTCTATTAGCAAGCTAACGTTAGCCGCTAACCACATGTTGGGCCTTTAGAGAGTCTTGTATCACATTTGTTTTCGTTCTGTATCTCCACAGCACATTTATGAAAGAGTTTGTTTTCTGGTTTTAGATCCAACCTTGTCTTTAAACCAGCTTTTAAGCGATCCTTGGAAGCACTGTCAAGATGCCCAGGGAAGACAGGGCCACGTGGAAGTCCAACTATTTTATGAAAATCATCGTAAGTTCCATGACTTGCAGCTACTCACAGTCTCGCCGTGAAATGCTAATTTTTCATTATTAAATGAAGCTTAACTTGACGTAGTGTTTGTATTGCAGCAACTTTTGGATGACTATCCAAAATGCTTCATCGTGGGGGCAGACAACGTGGGCTCCAAGCAGATGCAGACCATTCGTGTGTCTCTGCGTGGCAAAGCCGTGGTGCTGATGGGTAAAAACACCATGATGCGCAAAGCCATCCGTGGTCACCTGGAGAACAATCCTGCCCTGGAGAAGTGAGTGAACCGGTCGCCCCTCGGGTTTGATCTAGAATTGTTTCCTCGAAGCCTCAGCAGGATATCTACAGTGCAGCTTGTGTGGTGCTGTGTTGTCGTTCCCCCTGCTGAAAGTAAAATGTTTCCAGCTATCCCTGTCTGCCTACCACCTCTGGCAGCCAGGGACGCAAGGTTTCAGACACGTAATTCCTTCAGAACGTTAGTTTTATCTTGAAATTCTCCAAGTCGGCGTGATGTCGTTCAGTCACGTGATTTCAACCTCCATTTTTTATGGGTGAAAACTCACTGAGACTCTTACAAACTGTGTCAAAAGTAGAAACTTCAAACTACACAGCAGTTTTAAATTGTGTTGATAGGTCAAGAGTTGAGAAAATTAGAGTTATGATAAATGGCATACCTTTTTTTTTCCCAAAAATGAGCGTTCTGTTTTGCGTTGCAGCTGAAGAGAGCAAAAAACACTGTAATCTTGTGGAAAAATCACTGCTGTCCATCGTCAGTCTCATCTTTCTCTTAAACCGAAAAAGTATAACCCCCCAGACCTCCTTTATGACTGAGGCTCAAAGTTATCTGACAAGTAGTAAAAAATCTACAGGAAGAAGAAAATAAAAAGAGGCGAAATTTGAATGGAGATTGGCGGCAATGAAGAGCCGTTGAGAGCAGGATTTTAATTAGATCTGTGACATTTAACATGTTTGGATTTATAGTTAGTGTGTAGTTTTGAGTGTTCACTCTTCATTTTAGCCAGTTTTAAGTGTGTTTTGAATCAAAACAATGAGGCAATTCTTTTTAAACAAGGAGAAACACGGAGGTCTGCAGAGTCAGAACAACAACACGTGTCTTATTTCTCTCCCCTCACTCTTGCAGTTGGAAAAAATATCATTTTATCTCTGGATGTTTTTTTTTTACGTGAGAAGTGCAGTTCTACAGCAGCTTTTCACTATTTTTTCTATTTTCCACATAGAGGAACTCATCCTATTTTACCCCAAACCAATATGTCAGCCTCCATTTACAACATGGTCATGTGACAAAGTACCCGGCTGTTCGACTTTAAGAATTAAGTGTTTAGTTTTGTGTTTTGACAGGCTTCTGCCTCACATTAAAGGGAATGTGGGGTTTGTCTTCACCAAGGAGGATCTGGCTGAGGTCAGGGACTTGCTGCTTGCCAACAAGGTGAGATCATTAAGTAAGGAAAAAATTGATAGTCTATTAATTTTTTTTACTATGTTAATTTGATTCTTTAAAAAAATGATTAAACCATTGGTTTAGAGGGATAAACACTGAAAGTACAAACCAAAGAATCCTTGGTGGTGATGGTTGAATCCTCAGGAACATGCAGGATAAGTTACAATGCAGCCCGCTCAGTACTGTATTGTCGTTCCCCCTGCAAACAGTAACCTGTTTCCTCGCTATACCTGCTAGTCACCATCTGTTGACTCTCAGGGACGTAAGGTTTCAGACATTCATAGTCTTTACATCTTCACTGTTCTGTTGCATTTAAGACATGGCTTTTAAAAAGCAGTGTAGTTTAAAGTTTGCTCTGTTGAATCTCAGGTACCAGCAGCTGCCCGTGCTGGAGCCATCGCCCCTTGTGATGTGACGGTGCCCGCCCAGAACACCGGGCTGGGTCCCGAGAAGACCTCTTTCTTCCAGGCTCTCGGTATCACCACCAAAATCTCCAGAGGAACCATTGAAATTCTGGTTTGTTTGACATTTATAATAGATTTGAAACAGATCAACTTCATAGTGGTGAACTTTTTTCAAATGTTGACGTTTGAAGCTGAAATCTCCATTTAATTGCTGTTTTGGTTTCTCTAGAGCGATGTCGGTCTGATCAAGACTGGCGACAAAGTTGGTGCCAGCGAGGCCACGCTGCTCAACATGTTGAACATCTCACCCTTCTCCTTTGGACTCATCATCCAGCAAGTGTATGATAACGGCAGTGTGTACAGTCCTGAGGTGCTCGACATCACCGAGGCTTCTTTGCACACCAAGTTCTTGGAGGTGAGATAGTGTTTACGCTTAAGATACAATTAGATTAGCCAGAGTTAGGTGGTTTTGTGTTCATTTGAAATGTCATACCTCTAAATTGCTGGTTAATTTTTAAATTTTGTGTTGCCGTGTAGGGTGTGAGAAACATCGCTAGTGTGTGTCTGGAGATTGGCTATCCCACTCTGGCTTCTGTCCCTCACTCCATCATCAATGGCTACAAGCGAGTCCTGGCTGTGGCTGTGGAGACAGACTACTCCTTCCCTCTGGCAGACAAGGTATTAAACTCATTCTACAGTAAATCACTTAGTTCAGGTGTAGGATAGGTTTGYGTGAAGCTTGTGTAGTACTGAGTGGTCAATCCAACAGCAAAGACTGTAAAGTGTGTTGTTCACTGTCTTAACTTCAGATGTACTTTGAAAGATAAAAAGAAATTAAAAATATCACTGGACTTTTTCCTCCTCTACAGGTCAAAGCCTTCCTGGCTGACCCATCTGCTTTTGCTGCTGTCGCAGCACCTGCAGCAGCTGCTGTAGAGACCGCTGCAGCTCCAGCCGCTAAGGAGGAGGTGAAGGAGGAGTCTGAGGAATCAGATGATGACATGGGCTTKGGTCTGTTCGACTAAAAAAAAATACAGCGAACAGAATGTTTGAATCAAAAAGAACATGATTCAATAAACTTTGATAAAACTTTTGTTGTTGTTCTTTTCCTTTCAGTGTAAATCTTTGAGATAAGATGAGCTGTTGTATAATTGACAGGATCCTACTATGAGATAAACAGGATTACCTTGTAATGGTCTTATAATTTTTTTTTTTCGAACAGTGAAGGATAAGAGATGATGTGATAAACAGCAGGGAAGTGAGTCTTGTATGACGTACGTTTCTGAAAACAATTTCCTGTTTGGGTGTGTTGACTTAAAGTAGGCTTTGAGCAATTCTCCCTTTTTTAAGTTTGTATAACATCAAGATTCAACATGCTGAAATATTTCAAGTACTTTTGTTATGGTAGATATATAAACACTAAAATTTCTAGTAATGTAGCCATATGTACACAGTACATCAATACTTTAAGAAAATGAGCACTTTCCATTGTGGTCAAATATTAAAAAATAGTTGAGATGAAAAAACGAAARGCACAGAGCAGAAATGTAAAGAATCTGACAATTTGGTGTAGCATTATATGGTGTAAAAAATTAGGAAGATATTTGGACTTAGTACTTCTATTTGTAAAAGTGCATTAATTTGAAATGGATTGGGCTCCAAACCTTTTGCTTGATCATTCAAATGGGTTATTTTTACTTTGCATGGTCTATTAGAAAGGGGTAAAAAAAACTTATAAATATCTAGAAAGGCGTTGGTGCACAAAGTCGAATTTTATTGCGAAAAGGACTAACCGGAAGTTATTCAGGGCTACAGATGTGCTGAGGCTACAGGAGAAACGTCRGCTATGGCTGAGGTAAATTTTTAGTGTTTATTGTATTTAAAACGACACGATTGACATAGAAGATGTTATATGAACAATTTAAAAGGTTCACAATGATGTAACTTTGCGTAGTGAAACGTACAATGGGTTTCTAGCAGCAGAGGAGTCAACGTAATGTTACGTAGGTAGAAGCTTCGCTAACAAACCACAAACAGGTTGTCAATTTGTTGATATTGTGTACTTTCACTTTATCATAGGTAGTAGTTTTTTTGTTTATTCTATTATAAGGTACTTAATTACCGACTACGTATTTTTATTTTAATATCAAGATTACTGTATAAATATGAACGTCATCATACCCTTAGCTTGAAAACGCTGTTAGCTTGTGTGTTAGCTAATGTTGTTGTTCAGACCCACAGCTTACAGGACCTCCAGCAGCCGGCTGTCTCCTCCAAGGTGTTTGTCCAAAGGGACTACAGCTCAGGAACAATATGCAAGTTTCAGACCAAGTTCCCCTCTGAGCTCGAGTCAAGGGTACCCACACAGATTTCACGTGATTGAAGTAATATTTGTATTTGAATCGCTGTGAAATTGCTGGTGTGAACCATTTGTGTGATTTCAGCTCGATAAGCAGCAGTTTGAGGAAACCATCCAGACTCTAAACAACCTGTATGCGGAGGCAGAGAAACTGGGAGGGAAGTCCTACCTAGAAGGTTTCCTGGCTTGTATGACTGCCTACACCATCTTCCTCTGTATGGAGACACACTATGAGAAGGTAACACTGCTTCAGACTAATGGTTCTCATATACAAACTGCATTATTTTATTATATTTTTTGGGAGAGGCTTACATAAAGTATATATTTACGTTTTTATTTATTTWTTTTTTTTTGCTGTGCTGCTGTTCTCTGTCGGTACAGGTGTTAAAAAAGATTGCCAGATTCATAAAGGACCAGAATGAGAAAATTTATGCTCCAAGGGGCTTGCTGCTGACGGACCCCATAGAGAGAGGCCTCAGAGTTGTATCCTTGGGGAATTTCAAATATTGAATTTAGGTCAACAGGTTGAATCAGGCTTGTTTGTTTTCTTTTATTTTGCTCATTATGTGTTCATGTTAGTCAAAATAGATGAGTCTGAAGTAATTTTTTGTTATAGCAGTAAACTTAAGTGTACATTTTTTCTATCAAATGGTGTTAACATGCTACTAATTTATGTTCACTTTACAAGCAAGGGTTGCTTGTATGATCCGTGATCAGTATATTTTATAGGGTTTTTTATGTTTTATAAAATAACCATCTTAGTGTGGAGGAGAAAAATATATTTTTAGAAGTTATTTATTAATAAAAATCAGATTTTTACTTAGTACATTTTTCCTTAACTTGCCATTTTTCAGGTTGAAATCACGATCTTTGAAGACAGAAGTATCGGCTCTGGAAGATAAAAGAAACACGTGGTTCGATGACATTCACCTGCTTCACCTGGAAAATGTTTGAGTTTGGACATGGTGTTCATTTTAGTCATCAAAGACAACAAAATTCCTGGACTTAAATGCCTCCTGACCAAAAACAAAAGGAAAAAAAAGACAAAACAACCTAAAACTTTGATAGAGGTCATTAATCACAAGTAGCCCAAACAATAAAGCACACATTTCCTTCATTTAATAATGATTCCAGTACACATATCGGGACTTACGTAAAGCATCCCAGAAATTTATATTGACATAAGCTTTTGTGTTTCCTTGAACATATTTTTTCTTTTTGTCTCACTTTCACTCCAAAGGCCGATGAAAGCATCTGTCTGATGTTGTATTTACAGAGATCTTCGCCTCCGTTTTGTGTATACTTTTGATGTAATAATTTCTCCTGTTATTTATTAGATTTTGATGGTCTCTTTGTACACATTTTTTGTCCTTTTATGCACAATCATTGTTTAAATTGTAACCGAGTTGATCTGACCAGTTTTTATAAATTGTGCCATTGTGTTGATTGCCATTTTTTAAATCACAACAACTGTAAATTATTTTGAAATTTGTCAAGAAAGTATGGTTTTGTCACAACTGACATTAGGTACAGGGTGGGTTTGAGTTGTTGACAGTAAATGGTAAATTGATGTGTACTTCTACACAGTATTGACATGTTCGGTGGGTTAAAGCTCTGGTGAGCAAAAAAATGTTTTTGTATCTTGTAATAGAYTGTAAACTTTTTGGGGGTGGGGGGAGGGGCGGGGGGACATGTTTTAAAAGTTGTAAACATCCTATTTATTAGACAGATAGGAGCATGTTTCCCCAAGTTCATCTCCAAATCATACAGTAAACTTATTGCATTATGAAAACTCTTTTCTGTGATATTATAAAAGTGCACCAACGCTTCTTAATTTTTGTCTGCAGCATATTTATGTTGCAAATATATTATTCATCATCTTTGAACACAACAGAAATGTGAACCCTCTGCACATGATTATTTTTGTGTTTGATTCAGTCACCTGTCTTCGCTGTCATGTTTTATGTTTTAAATAAATTCAGGTTTCTTGAATTCTGTGTACTTTTAATTAGAAAAATAAACTTTAAAAGCGAAAGTTGTGTGGTAACATTTTATGAAAAACTTCATCTGAAAGTGGCATTTTGAACTTGTAACGCACAATTAGTTTTTAGTGCTTTTATGTTGAAAGCACCTAACCGGATGTTGATCCAGCAGAGAACTGTTTCCGGGGCATGCTAACTTGGGGTCACTCGCGCGACTTGTAATTTTTAATCACGTACGCGATTACAGTCTCACCGAGTCAAAAAACACATTTTTTTTTTAGCTTTAAAAGGTGAGTTACAACAGGAGGTGGTTGATTGATAGTTATTGACAAAAAATTATTTATAAAAGAGAGAAGCTAGCTTGTTTCGAGTTGTTAATCTTCAAAAGTTATGCACAAAACACTGCAGGTACACTTGATTTAGCTGCACTGTGTAAAATCTTTAACCGATTAGCTTATTAGCTAACTTAAAAAAACAAACAAAAACATATGTCAGTCATTCTGCATTTGTGTCACAGTGTAAATGCTCTAACATTACACCTAACTCTTTATTAACAGAGCTCGTATTTCTCTGGTCACCCTGGCGTTTCTTTGTTTCGATGGGCTTTACCTGCCGAAGGAAGAAAACCAGTTCGTGCATCATGTCATGCATGATTTGGAAACATACCAACAGGAAGACAACTCAAAGAGGTAAAGTGAGAGTTTTATATTATCTAGATGAATAAAACACAAATCTGTGATAGTCCTCTCTGCTCCCTGTGCTGTTTTGTGTTGGAGGCAAAATGTAGTGATGGTCATACATCAGCAGTAGCACATTATAAGTCATGTCTTTTTTAAAAACCCAAAACAATTTATCTAATACTTTGTACAAAAGCCTTTGTTGTCAATGACAGCTTKAAGACGCCTCCTGTATGGAGAAACTAGTGGCATGCATTCAGGGCCGGATTAACACTTCGCTGTACCCTGGGCAACAATATTCAAGGGCCCCATCATCACGACCCCAGGATTACCATAGTCTGGTAAATACAGAGTAAATTATTGCAATGTATAGTAAATATACTCCATACTTCAAATTCTAAGCGTATTTTGATGTACAAATGCTCATAGAACTACAAATACACTATATCCTCTTGTCAAGGACGCTCCTTCACATGATGCTATAAAAACAAAACACATCAGTATAACCTGGTAAACATGACCCACTACATTGAGATCGAGGGAAGTGTCCTCCATTTACACAAAAGCAACACTTGACATTAGACAACCCTCTCAGTCACCTGACCCGCCTCATGCTGACTGACCYATGAGGAGAAGATCTCAACTCGTTCACAGTGACAGGCAGCCTCTGTGCAGCACAACAGCTCCAACAGACAGTTTAACAAAAGCAGGAGAAAACCAGACATTTAACTGGTGCCTTCACTCAAGGGTG